GCATACACAAAAAATGCCTAAACTAAAAATGTATGCATAAATTAAAAAGGTATTCTAGGTGCTTTGTAAATGAGCTCTCAGATACTGACGGTGGGAGTCTAGGATTCGCGGGCAGGAGCTCCATCGCGGTCTGGGAGAGGATTCAAGCGTAGAACAGATGGAATACTGGAGGAATCACATGTATAAGGGCCCAAGGATGTATCTGTCAGTGTTGGTCCACCAGTAGTCATCCCCAGATGCTTACGGTCATCAGACAGGAAGGCGTTTCTGTTGTTGGCGTCGTACTCTGTGGTTGTACCTCTTCCGTGTGTAGCTTGCACCCAAGGACCACGGTCTGTTCTGATCCATGCTGGACCCCACAAGCCCTTACGGCGGTAGCCATTTCCAATCCAATCTTCAAGAAACGAGTAGGGATTCTCCAGTTTCTTGCTTGCTGCCTGAGGACGAACCTGGAATGATGCTAACAGTCGCCAGATATTCAGCTCTGGGATGCGGAACCAACCCGTGAAGACGGCCTTGTCGTTTTCTTTTGCATCTGGTTTCACGTTCACCATGAGCTGATATGTGTGGCCTACCTTCCAGTCATAGGTAAGATAACTCTGGCCACCTGTTCCTTCGCCTCCAAAGCGTTTAACTGTGACGCCTTCACCATGGGCAAGCACTTTGACCAAGTCGTCCGGCGATGCATTCGGATCGTCTTCTGTCGAGGTCTTGTCCCAAATGGAGAAGAGTACCCACTTAGGAGAACGATCTTGAATGCCCATGTAGCCTCCAGTGAAACCATTAGTCATGAAGTAACTGCTACCCGCTGTCTCTTTAACGATCACCTCGTTGTAGAACCAGGTAACCCCTTCCCGCTGTACTTCTGGATTGGCGGGCGCTGACCACCAAATATGAACCGAAGGTGAACGGTATGGCTGTTCAGCTACCACCCATTTATTTGAGAGGTAAACTTCACTGACCTGGGAAAGAGATGTCATTCACTTATCAAGAGACAAAGAAAAAAAGAAAGAAGGGTTGCTCCACGTAGATTTGTACTTCAGAGTTTAAGAAATCTCGGTTCTATAATCTTCCAGTAAACTCGTAAGAGACTACGCCGGTGAGCATGGCCACATACTATGTTCTTACGTGACCATGGCTTGTCGAGTGAACAACACAAAGATGATAATACGTACTCTGGACAGATGTGAACTGACTATATGCCCTGGCTTTAGGTACTATAAATATATTGCATCGTACCAAGACTTTTAGGTTCGTATCCTTGTGGGAGGAAGGAAGAAAGGGAAGAGGGGGTATGGGTTTATTTCTTCCTCCTCCCACTTTCGCGACAAAACGCAGTTTCCTAACATCTTCACTTACCTTGAATTTAGGGCTCCAATTTGCTTCATATGGTTCTTCAGCGGGCTTTGATGATTCAAACCCCCCTGTGCTACCACCAAGGACATCTTGCATGTACTGGGTTGCAGTAATTACCCACGAAGTGCCTGTGTAGAACATCATTCGGCTGTTACTTTGAAAAACCCAAATGTTTTTATTTCGAAATTTGTCGTCTGTTAGTGAGAGTTCCCCAGCACTTTTAGCGTAATCATCACCCTCCACCAGAACCAGCCTTAGTTTGGAAACATCCTTTAGTTTGGAGGCCATTTACGTGGTTTTTCTGAAGCTTTTCACCTGTGGAGAGAAAGCCGTAAAAATTTCAACCCTTTTTCAATCCGAACGTTTCATAAGAAGATGGCATTATTAATTTTTTACCCCACGATTTATAGTTTTGGTACATCGTTATTTGTTTTTGTGGCTACTGCCTCCTATACGAGGGGAAGCGTGACAAAATCAAATGTGCGACTTTCAATGCATAAATTTCTCTCAGTGCTATAAAATAATTAACAATTAATGAATAAGGCTGAGTATCTTATGAAGAATTATGGAGATCGAGCAGGGTGTTATTCGTCGAGGCCGTAGGCCGAGGCGGATAACACCCTACGAGATCTCAATAATTCTTGTACGAAAACCGAATTCAATAATTGCTTTATTATTCATTCAAACTAATTCCAAGTTTAAAAACATGGCTAAAACATGCTTACCTCCATCGACCCATCGATGTTAAGTTCATCTTCGATAGTGCACGTTTAGGTTTGTCTAACTCCGCAAATATTCTCCAAATAGTATATGTCGCCCTTCAAGTTGTCGTCTTGCTGTTCTTGCCATGTTTTTAGCTATTGTTTCGCCTATTTCTTACTCTTGAAACGAGTGAAATGTCGGCCATTTTTCAAGTTCACAACCAAAACAATTCAGCCTTGTCCCCAGGTCTTCTCGGTTAACGGTGCCTTAACCTGCGAAAACGCTGCATTTTTGACGTCATTTCCTCGTTTAACACAAAATTCTTCCAAATTTGGTCATCAGTGACTGGTTATGGTGAATTAAAAGTGTGCTTTTAGCCAATCAGAATCGGGAAAATATTTTGAATGAATAATAACAGATTTTAATAAGGTTTAAACTTAAGAACAGGGAATGAAACAATTTTTTGAAATGCGTTAATGCATTATTATCCAACTGTGCTTCGTAGAGTACAAATAACGCGCGAGACGAGTACAAATATCATGCGATATTTGTACTCCAGAAATGTCCGCCAAATTCGCCCGCACCGAAATAACAATGTGGCCTGTTGGATAATGTATCTTATTAGACGTTTTGTTGTGTAGTATCGCTGAGTATTTTTACTTGTTGTTTGTATTGTGACTCGCCCTATGGGCTCGTCAAAATATGGCAGAACTCGTAAAAATACTCAGCGATACTACTCAACAAAACGTCTAATAAGATATATGTAGCTAGTAAACGTAATACTTAGTTGCAGCGCAGACCTAGAACGAAAGTGGAGTAGATTAAAGTAGAGTAGGTTCGAACTGAAATACGATAATCAAAAATGAAGCAAGGCTTAGACATAGGGTTAGCTTAGTAGACATTAGCCTGCGTAGCAAGCGTTTCCGTTTGGTTTCGGAGCAAAAAAAGCTCGTGGAAGGGGACTTTCGGTTTTGACCGCGGGAGAAATGAAACGAGAACCCATTTTTCGCGCGGTCTGTGACTCTTGTTCCTCATTCTTTGCTCCTAAACCGCACAGAAACGCTTGCTACGCAGGCTAAGTAGACATGCAAAGAGATATTAAAATCGACTAAAAAAGTTTCCGAAAGTCTACATCGGACACAACTCTGACAGCATACAAGGGTGCTTCCAACATAAAATCCAAGTAGTGTAAGAAACCTCAACTAACTGTAGTGACTCTGAACATATTTAGATCACAAAAACAATAATTTGGTAAAATCAGACCATTGATAATCAATGGCGTGACGTTGGCCACACTTTTTAAGACGTTAAAAAATAATTACCCCGGCAATCACCACTAAAACTAAACAGAAGGTAAAGAAAAAAAATCTTACTTTGTTGACAAATGGAAGCTGCTCCTACGATCGTCTAGCGAGGCAATTTAGTAAACAAGCATACGTGATTATGCTAATCGTGTGACCTAGGAAAAGTGAATTTCCTAAAAAGGTCATTAATATTTTTGCATATCAGTATACTAAACATGACACTTAATTATTTTAATAGCAGCCTAATCTGGTAACGTGCACGTTTTGCTAAAGTAATGGCTCGAATAATGATCTGGAAAACCAAAAAAAAAAAACGTGAAAGAAAGGGGATGTTTTAAAACTAACACAGACAAAATTAGGACAGAACAAGAGTGAATATTAGTCCCGAGGTTACTACTCGAACTATTCGGCAATCGAACCTCATCGGACTCAATACAGCTGTCAATATCTTTCTCCTTTCTACAGAATGGACGGCATAGCCTTTCATGTTTACTTAAAGAGGAAGTCAAGTCAAGTGCAAGTCTATGCGACTAGAAATAACATGAGAAATGGTTGATGGAGTTCTCAGGGGGGTAGGGCGGGTGTAGCCACTATTATAAAACTTAAGTTCTAAAGCGAGAAGTGTCAAGAATTATGAAAAGTATCTGGTACATAAGAGAACAGTACTTGATCAAGGACAAAATTCTTCGTGATTACATCGTAAGCAATGCATGAATGCCAATAAACAGCTAGACGAAATCATAAATTGTCAGTATAACTCGAAAGTAGGTCACATATATGTGTACATGAATGATCATGATTGAAGCTAAGACAATTTCTCTTCGTATTACGGTATTTGACTTAGCCTGTGCCAGGCTCTCAGATAGTATAGTGCGGACGTATTAAAACGAGCAAAGCGAAAATAAGACGAGATCTTAAGTTTCCTGTTTTTCTTAAAAATAATTTTACATGCATGACTGAATTTTCTAACATTTGACCAGTCTTTTTGGAAGCTCTATTCCCTTCAACCAGCTGTTTTCGATGCACTTGTAGCCTGAGTATCAGGCGTTTCTGGGGAAAAGGGGACTCCTCTCCCGTATCCCCTTAGGAAGGCCTGATACTCAGGCTAATGCACTTGTTCCTAAAAGCTCTTTTTCCAGGCTTACCGTCCTAACACTCCCACATAACCTACCAGGACTATTTGCAGGAGTCCACTGTCTTGTGTTGAAATATCGGACAGAATTATAGTTAAACTCCATTTCCGCCGTCTCCCGGGTCCGGTCTTTGATGGATGAGTGCGGGCTCATTTTCCCGAACAGCGGCTGGTAATCGAGCCTACTATCGAGGGGCTGGTACTGAATGTCAATTATCCTGTTAATAATTGATAAGGAATCATGTTTTACCACCCTTGCACAATTTATTTTCGTACACTTGGTTCGTTTTCTGATAACAGTGTTTAGTTTCGAAAGTTTCGCTAAATGTATCAAGTTTTACAAATGTTATCACGTTCGTATCAGTCGCGATTAACGCCGAGTTGGGACGTGTCAATCAGCTACTTTCTGACATAGCTGATTGACAATAATGATGGGGGATAATTATCAAGTTTGAGTTATCAGGGTACCGTAAAATTCCGAAAATAAGCCCCAGGGCTTATATTTTTCAAAGGCTCTTTTTGAGGGGCTTATTTTTGGAGGGGCTTTTATTCGGAGGGGCTTATCTACGGAGGGAAATTGACGTTTCAAAATCGGTAGGGCTAGCCTTATAGTTGGAAGTACATTTACCGTTTTTGCTTTGTTTTACTTTGCATTTGAGGGCAATTTTCCAAGTACAAGCTCTCGGGGAGCTTATATTTGGAGGGGCGATTTAACGGAGGTTTTTTTTGCGTTACCGGTTTGGGGGGCTTTTACATGGAGGAGCTTATTTTCGGAATTTTACGGTATATTTGAGCCGAGGGAAAGTAAAATTAGTTTGAGTTATCCGCGAGTTCGAGTTAACCACCTGATTAGAAAATGATTCAAAAAGTAGGGTCAAATCCAAGGGAAACAGGAAATTGTTCGAGTTAGCAGGGTTCCACTACATATCTAGTACAGGCCTGCATCTAATATAAGCATGATTGATTGTGCGATAACCCGCGACTTAATCCTTGGAATGAGTTTGGAAAGGATGACGCATTTATTTTTTTAAGCGTCGCAGCGTTTATTACATCTATTGCGTCTCCAGCGCACTGCTTATCAGCCGTAAATAGCGATTAAAAAAATAATCGTCATGTTTTTAAAACGATAACAAGGAAATGATCACAGTAAAGCATAAATATATCATTCACTACCTCGTTTCGGTTGGGTAAATGGCTTACGCCTCGTACTTTGATGGGGGGTAACCGATTAAATACAGTAATGATCTAGACTTTTACTTCATCATCACCGGAAATGCCGCTCTACTCTCTAAAGAGCCGACCGAGAATATCATTCTGTTTTAAACAAAGAGGAACTTAACAGCTATGCGTTGAAGTAGTGGTCAATATGAGCACATAATTAACATAAGAAATGGATGAACAAAGTTCTCAGGGAGAGAGAGGGGGGGGGGGGGCGTTAATGTATTAGTCAAACTTTTCCCCCAAACAGTTACTATCAAGCAGTTTTTCCCTATAGCACCAATCCATTCTCAAATGCTGATTGGGGTTTCAAGAAATTGGTTGAGAAATGTGAACATTAAGTGCACTAATTGCATCTTCATGAAGTTCCTGTATTTCTGAGAAATCATTTCATACGCATGACCTAATTTTCCAATCCGTGAAAATGAATAATTTGACCTTCACGACATGAATAACCTTTAGTATTCTCCTGACTTGGAGAATCATGTTATGATTACTTAATTCGAGGCAAATGAGATTATTGTTTCACAATACATGTATGTCATTGTCCTTCACTTTAAAGCTTTTCAAATCAGTATAATTTGTACATAAGAAAGAAACGGCAGCAAAAAACTACCCGTAAATGCGATTGAACTTTGTAGATGATTCACGGCTAAAAGCTTCAAAAAACATCGAATCTCTCCAAACATTTGCACTTATCATCGGTCGGCCGTAAGGTGGAGTGTCATATGTCGTCTAATCGATTATTTTTCCCTCATTTTTTTTTACTAGCGCAACAGACTTAGCAGAAAAGGAGGGAATGCTCGTACTCGTAGACAATTGCTTGAAATGTATTTGAAATTTCAAATAAGGTCCCCTGTGAAATTTTAAAATGAGCCAGAACCCATTACCTTTTTAGCGGAGCTCTCGCGTGCGAAGCGCGCCAGCGGAGCACCATGG